TCTAACATATCGTCATCCTATATACCATGATATATAATCTAGCGGGCCGACATTGGTGCCTTCGACCTACGAGTACAGTGAGGAAAACTCACCTAAATTTCTAAAAGATAGCTAAATGGAATGTTGCTCCAAAAACCAACTGTACATGTTTCCTATACAATAAACAATGTCCAAACCTCAATCTACTGATCAAATTACACTATTTGACCTAAATTCAAACTTGGTTAATGGTCAAAATCCTTACTTAAAAGCCACCTAGCCACTCGTCATGTCGTGACCATTTATTGGTCACGTCATGACCATCTATTGGTCACATTGTGACCCTATAAGACAAAATAATCGAGAATACCCATTCTCACATCGTGAGCCACAAGGCCTCATGTTATGAGATACGCTTTGAATAGATTTAATGAACAAAGCTCTTAATCCCTCAAGATATGCAACCAACACTTTCAGAATGTATTATTTACTCTAAAACATCATAAAAATCTTGACTTTTTTGACATGCATGTCCCAAACACAAACTAGGGCACAAAATGAAGAAATTACCTTAGAAGCTCATGCAAGAGTATTAAAACTCAACCATGCTTTATCTCTAGCACGTATATTACCCAAGGGACACTAGAGATCCATAAAGTTGGAAAGTTTATGGATTCCAAGCACCATATCACCAAATCCATGAAAGAAAATGTATAAAAAGCTAGATTTAAGCTAATAACCCTATAAAGCTAGGATCTTGAAAACTCACAATGGTCCAGAAGGTGTGGAAATGAATGATGGAGAGTCTTGAGTGCTAAGATGATGGCTAGATTGTAACAATGCAAATTTTCAAATAAATTTTTCATTTAAAATAAAGTAGTTTCATTCAACCAATAATGTTATTTCATGTTTCATATCAAATACATATGTAAAATCCCCAAGATCTCAAATGGCAGCAGTGTGTATGCATCATGCCGGCGCCTTCCCACGGTCCTCGCTAGTACCTGAAACACATACATAACAACTGGTAAGCATAAATGCTTAGTGAGTTCCCCAGTATACCACTACACATATACGCCTTTCTAGGCCCGAACCTTACGGTCCACAGTACAACGCCTTCCGGCCCATGAGATAATCGCCTTCCGGCCCATAATATTTTGCCTTCCGGCCCATAACATATTGCCTTCCGGCCTGTAACATATTGCCTTCCGGCCCATAAACATATGCAACACATAGTACAATTACTTAAACACATATAGCACATATATATCATATATCATACCTGACCTTTCTGTCACATAATACTTTGCCTTCCGGCCCATAGAACATACATAGCATGCATAGCAACTACCTTTTCAATTATCACATATATATAACACATAACATATTCGACCTTCCGGTCACACATAGATACCCTTCCGGGTACAGTATAGTGAGAAGACTCACCTCGTGGTAATGTAAACTATAAACTCTTGAAACCACTCGCACTCGGTCCGCCGATCTGCAGTCTCCCTATAATACCATATACCCTTATTAATAATCTTATCAAACAAGACAACTGACCCTACGAAATTACATGCAGGTCAACGGTCAACTTGACCGGACTCGTCGAGTGCAAAGGCGACTCGGCGAGTCTAGACGTCCTCCCCAATTTTCCCTGTTGTTCCCCCTTCTACTCGTCGAGTATCCCTCTTGACTCGACGAGGTCCTCGTGGAAGAATCGCGGGGCCACCCCGACTCCACTCGCCGAGTCTGAAGAACAACTCGGCGAGTCCCAGTGAATCTTCAAGCTACTCGCCGAGTCTGCTCATCCGACTCGGCGAGTCCATGCCATGCAGTCGATCAACTGCTTCCTGAAACACGTATGGTCCCGAAATACACACTCATGGGACTATCTGGACCTCTAAACATCCTATTACTAGGGTATAAACACTTGGGTAACAACATAATAATCCATCTAATCATCAAATGGGTTCTATAAACCCTAACTTCATATTCACATCAATCACAGAAGAACGAAATCCGAGATATTACCTGATTGATGCACTTTCTGTGTCCCCAATCCTCAGAACGTGATTCTCTTGCTGTTCCTTTAGCTAAACATTCCTCTTCCTTGCACACAACTCTTCTAAACCCAACAATGGTCTTCAATCCTTGCTCCAGATGCACACAATCGTTCTAGGGTTCTTCTCAGAAAGCAAAAACGAACAATGACGGCCTAAGAGGCGTTATATACGATCCAAAACCAAACGGCTAGGGTTTCTGCTGAACAGCGTCGACTCGCCGAGTCCCTAATGGACTCGTCGAGTCCAGTCGCGAATCCGCGACCAAGTCTGTGGTCCTACTCGGCGAGTCAGGCACCAACTCACCGAGTCCCCTCCTAAATTGCCCCAAAAATAGTTTTAAAGCAATACCTGAAATTCCGGGCTGTTACATAGATGCTCTTCTTTTTCTTTTTCTTTTTCTTCTTCTTCTTCTTCTTCTTCTTCTTCTTCTTCTTCTTCTTCTTCTTATTCTTTGTAATAAATCACCACAAATGAGCTCAAAACCAACAATGGGATGTTAGAGTTTCAAAGGGGGATATTAGGAGGTGATAGAGGCTGAGGGTGGGCTAACCCTAACCATCACTTCCTTAAATACAGAAAAAATCCCAAAAATTAGGGTTTGCCTCGCAATCATCTCTCACATCATGACCCATATGGGCTCATGTCGTGAGCTTGAAGGAATTGCGTGATTCTTCCATCAGGGCTCACGTCGTGACACGTCAATGCTAACGTCGTGAGCAGGGTTTAAACATAAGGATTTAATTTGAAATTCCACAATGATACTTACCTAGAGCGGGGTGTTACAAGACCAGCACCATTTGCGACTCTTCAAACGACGCCGAAGAACCCTCATTTGAGATCTTAAAACCTTGTTCCATATGTGAAAACCATAGTAGCGGCGGTGGTGTTAGCGGTGATTTTTGGTAAGCAACACCGGAGAAAAAAAGAGAAATTGGACAAAAAAAGACAAAGTGCAGATGTGGAGTTTTTAGAGGTGCTTTCCTCCAAGAATGGTGGTTGTGACGGCAGTTTCTGGCAAATAATGGTGGTTTTCGAAAAATGGTAGTAGGTTCTGGTAAATAATTGTGGTTTACGAGTGGTGGTTTCAAGTGAGACAATAGTGTGTATATATGTGTGTGTGTGAGAGAGAGAGAGAAAGAGAGAAAGAGAGAGAAGGATATATATATATATATATATATATATATATATATATATATATATATATATATATAAAAGTTGGTTTAAATAAAAATATCAACTAAAATGAGAACATAAGAACATTTCTAAGTCAATCGTTTTATTTAATTAATTTAAAAAGAATATTTACAAAAACATATTTTAGGTATTTGCTAGGGTCATTAATAACCAATTTAAATTCAAACCTTAATTTTATGAAGAAAAAAAAAGTCTATCATCCATTTAATGTTCTTGTTTCCGTCTAAGGTAAAATAAATCTACGCATAATTTTAGCCCAAATTTAAGAAATGATTCCTTTTAGTGTATGGCTTATCTGTTTCCATCAAAATAAAATAAACGATAATACATCCATTTTACATTTATGTTTCACATGTATAATCATTAAAATATTGTGTTTGAATGTTAAATATTGATTTTAAAAGTAATGGGTTATAAAATCACTTTAGTTATAAATTCATTTCATTAAAAAGTTAATAATTTTTTTACTAAACAATCACACGTATGTGAATCTACATACCTTTCTTTCTAATTCTTTCGTGAATATTAGTTTTATTAGTACCCATATATTAAAAATTATATATAATTTTTATATTGATCTTAGTTTGATTATGTTTATGTTTCCTGCTGTGTATGTATTTCATCATGAAAGAAAATATATTCTTAAATGGATATTAATTTGTTTTTGTTTATGAAAATATAATATTTCATCATAAATATTGTTTGTGCCATTTTCTAGATATCTTTAATGGAATTGATATCATTCATATTGAGATATTGACATATTTTTATATTCATATCTAAATAATTCTTATATTGAATATTCTATGCGGAATAAATATATCATTCATATTGTCATAATACAATTTATAATATTTGAATATGTTACTATTTATATAAATGTTCAAAATTATTTGGTATTTTATTCGTATGTTCATAGCTAAAGTTTGAAGTCTGTAAAGAAAATGATATTCTGATATGAATTATGTCAAATTTACAAACTTGATTCAAGAAAACAATGAATTTACATTGTATTTGTTAGTTCAAACTGTATTTCTTTTATTATTTTGCAATTTATAATTATTTTTTATTTTTTGATCTCGAAGATAAGTGTCTGGATCGTATCCTAATGTTTTATAAAATTAGTATGGTCTCATAATATATATATATATATATATATATATATATATATATA